AGAAGAAGGAACGAGTGCTTGCGACGATCGTGGAAGTTGTCCGTGGGGTCAGGAGCTTCTTGGATGCATTTGAGGGGCTCGTGGGATGCCTCTCAAGGGGCCTCTTGGAAGGCTCTTGGGGGCATCTGGGGGCCCTTTTGGGTCTTCTTGGGGGCCTCCAGGGGGCTTCTTGGGAACTCCTTGGGGGCCTCTTGGGGCCCCTTGTGGGCGCCTCGGGGGCGTCGGGGGGCTCTTGGGGCCTTCTTGGGGCTTTCCTGGGCCGATTGGAGGGCCCCCGCGGCCGTCTTGGGGCCTTCTTAGGCCGTCATGGGGCGGCCTCATTGGCCGTTTTGGGACGATCTTGGAAACCGCTTGGGCCGTCTTTGACGGTGCTTGGGGCACTCGGTGGTCCTGGGCCGTCATGGTCGCCTCGTGGGCCGTCTCGAAGCCATTTACGGTCGTCGTGGGGCTATCTTGGGAGATCTTGACGTGTCGTAGATTGTTTTGGCGTGGTTTTGGCGCTTTGTTTCGGGAATGCGTTTGGGAGCTCGTCCCCCCTCGCACCCCCGCCCCTCCCCCCCTCGAACGGCATTTTGGACCCCAGGGGAAGGGGAAAGGGGGGGGAGCGTTAGATGTCTCACACGTCTTTTCACCCCCGGCAAGCGGGGGCCGGCGGATCCCCGGAGCGCCCCCGGGCGCCCCCGGCACGTCCCTGGACCCAGACCCTCTGGCGGCATCGACTCTTTCAGCCATGGCTTTTGTGTCGCCTCATTTGGTCGAAGAAGAAACAGCGCCATGGATTTCTCGGATCCGCGCTGGGCCCCCCGGCGCCGCCCCTGGCGCGCTCCGCGCGCCAGGGAGGGGGTCCAGCGCAGATCCGAGAAATGCGCGCGGAGCGCCACAGGTTAATGTTTATGGCGTCTTTTCTTCTTCTATCTGGTTGTGCGCCCAGCAGGACGCTCTCGGGCCCCAGGACTATCAAAAGTTCACCGAGCGCGCTCAACTGCTCGCCAGGTGCCTACTCGCTAACGTCCAGACAAGTACATGTCTGCACCGATGCGATGAATCGTGAATCTCCCATGGCGGATCCGGGCCACTTACGAGTGGCCACTTTGCGAGGCGTGCGATGCGCTTGTCCAAAAGTGGAGGCGGGGGAGGAGGCGGAGGAGGAGGAGGAGGAGGGAGGGACGGACGGATGGATGGGGGGAGGGAGGGAGGGAGGAGGAGCGGAGGCGGAGGAGGAGGAGGAGGAGGAGGAGGGGAGGAGGAGGGGAGGAGGAGGAGGAGGAGGAGGAGGAGGAGGAGAGGAGGAGGAGGAGAGGAGGAGGAGCAGGAGCAGGAGCAGGAGCAGGAGGAGGAGGAGCAGGAGCAGGAGCAGGGCAAGGAGCAGAGATGATGATGATGATGATGATAATGATGATGATGATGATGATGATGATGATGATGATGATGATGATGATGAGGATGAGGATGATGATGATGATGATGATGATGATGATGATGATATGATGATGATGATGATGGATGAGGATGAGGGATGAGGATGAGGTGAGGATGAGGATGATGATGATGATGATGATGATGATGATGATGATGATGATGATGATGATGACGATGCTGATGCTGATGCGATGATGATGATGATGATGATGGTGGTGGTGGTGGTGGTGGTGGTGGTGGTGGTGGTGGTGGTGATGATGATGATGATGATGATGATGATGATGATGATGATGATGATGATGATGATGATGATGAATGATGATGATGATGGAGGAGGAGGAGGAGGAGGAGGAGGAGGAGGAGGAGGAGGAGAGGAGGAGGCGGAGGAGGAGGAGGAGGAGGAGGAGGAGGAGGAGGGAGAGGAGGAGGAAGAGGAGGAGGAAGAGGAGGATGAGGAGGAGGAGGAGGAGGAGAGGAGGAGGAGGAGGAGGAGGAGGAGGAGGAGGAGGAGGAGGAGGTGGAAGAGGAGGCGGAGGTGGAGGAGGAGGAGGAGGAGGAGGAGGAGGAGGAGGAGGAGGAGGAAGAAGAATAATAATAATACAAAGAATACGAATAATAATACTAATACTACTACTACTAATACTAATAATACGAAGACGAATAATAAGAGGAATAATAATGATAATAATAACAAGAAGAAGAATACTAATCATAAGACGAATACTAAGAATAAGAATAATAATAAAAATACGAATAATAATAATAATAAGCATAATAATAATAAACAGAATAAGAAGACGAATACTAATAATAATAAAAATAATCATACTAATAATAAGAATGAGAATGTGAATAATAAGAGGAATAATGAGAAGACGAAGACGAATAATAATAATAAGCATAATACTAATAATAAAAATCACAATAATAATAAGAAGAAGGGTAATACGACAAATAAGGAGCATAATACTACGAAACATAAGAAGACCAATAATAATAATACAAAGAAGAAGATTAATAATACTCATAATAATAAGCAGAATAATAAGAATAATAATACGAATAAGAAGAATATGAATACTAATAATAATAATAGTACTAAGAATAATAATAAGAATAAGAAGAATAAGACCACTAATACTCATACTAAGAAGAATAATAATAATAATAAGAGTAGTAATACTAATACCGACAATAATAAGAATAATAATATTAATAACAAGAAGAATACGAATACTAATAATAAGAAGAAGAATATGAATAATACTAATAAGGAGAAGAAGCATAATAATAATAATCAGACGAAGAATACTAATAATAATACGAATAATAGTAATGATAATAATAATAATATTCATAATAATAATAGTAATAATAATAATACTAATCATAATACTAATAATAATAATGTATAATAATAATAAAAACAATAATAATAAGAATAATCAGAATAATAACAATAATAATAATAAAAAGAAGAATAAGAAGAAGCAGAAGAAACATACTAATAAGAATAATAATAAGAATAAGACGAATAAGAAGAATAAGACGAATACTAATAATAATAATGAGAAGAATAATAATACGAAGAATAAGAAAAATAAGAATAATAAGAAGAATACGCACAATAATAATAAGAATAAGAAGAATAAGCAGAATAATAATAAGAAGAATAATAAGAATAATACTAAGAATAATAAGAAGAATAATAATAATAAGCATAAGAAGAAGAATAATAAGAAGGAGAAGAAGAATAAGAAGAAGAAGAATAAGAAGAATAATAATAATAATAAGAAGAAGAATAAGAAGAATAATAGTAATAATAAGAAGAATAATAAGAAGAATAAGAATAATAATAATAAGAAGACGAATAAGAAGAATAAGAAGAAGAAGAATACTAATAATAATAAGAAGAAGAAGAAGAAGAAGAAGAAGAAGAAGAAGAGGAAGAGGAGGAGGAGGGGGAGGAGGGGAGGAGGGGGAGGAGGGGGAGGAGGGGGAGGAGAGGAGGGGAGGAGGAGGAGGAGGAGGAGGAGGAGGAGGAGGAGGAGGAGTTGCAGGAGGAGGAGGATGAGGAGGAGGAAAAGGAGGAGGAGGAGGAGGATGAGGAGGAGGAGGAGGAGGAGGGTAAGGAGGAGGGTAAGGAGGAGGAGGAGGAGGAGGAGGAGGAGGAGGAGGAGGAGGAGGAGGAGACTTCGCGCTGCCCTCCAGGGGAAGGTGTCACACCTCTGGTGGCCGTGGATTGGCAACGGCAGTGCAGCGGCAGTCTCGGGGAGGGGCCCCCCTGTCCGTGTGCAGGCCTTCGCGGCCTTCGCGGAGGCCCCCCCCCAAGGGCGCCGAACCCTGGAGAGTATATACTACAAGAGGGGTATACTATTATGTCGGGCGTGTCCCCCTACAGGGGGATCTTCGACGACAAATACAAAAAACCAAAACATACCCCAAAAAGGTAAAACAAACATTCAAAACATATCCCCACACAATTTGGATTATTTCTGGCCAATTTTAGGGTATTTTTTATGTTTCGTCGAAAATCACCCTGTAGGGGGATAGGCCCGACTTAAGCCTTCGCGGCCTTCGCGGAGGCCCCCCCAAGGGCGCCGAACCCTGGAGAGTATATACTTCAAGAGGGGTATACTATATGTTCGAGTCGGACGCGCGCCTCCAAGGAGGACATGCTGTGCTAGTCTGTCTCCGTGCGTCCCACTGGAGCGGGAATGACACGTTGTCCTCGGGAAAGGTGTCAGACCTCTGGCGCGTCCGCGGACTGTGAACATTGAAATGCATCGGAAGTCTGGGGGAGTGGCCTCTGGAAGCACACCGAGGCCTGCGGGGCCTTCAACAAACAGGCCCCAAACGCACCGAACCCTGGAGATCCTTGATCCTGGATGGTCGTGGGCGCAAGGGCTTTTGCAGCCATCCCCTTTGCAAGGCCGTCGGGGAGGAGGCCAGCAGCCTCGTCATCGGCACCAGCCTCGGCATATGCAAGGCGCTGTCCGAGGGCAACGGCGTCTCCGGCAACAAGTGCATCGCGGTGCAGCCCGCGCAGGACCCTTTGGGCGCAGCGCACACTGCCCCGACATCCCCTCTCACAGCTTGGCTTTGACGTTGGCTTTGGCCGCGCCTTTAGTTTGAAGCGAAGCTGCGGCAGGTTCGCGCCGCGTTGCTGCGGCGATTGCCCCAGCGCGGGCGGTCACGCTCGAACGCTGCCAGTGGTCCAGAATGGGCAGATGTTGAACGATCTGCGCTATCGGCAAGCCGCGATCGCTCAGGGCTTAACGATTCATGCGGTATCAGAAACCCATGCAGCAGTCGTCACGATGCGAACTTGTCGTAATTGGCTTCGCTTGGCTTGCGCTCGTGTTGCTTATCTGAAGTTAGCGTGGCCTTGCCGAGCTCGAAGCTCTGGCTGGAGCCCCATCCTACGCTTGGGCTCCGCGACTCGTCGCAGCCCGTCCAGGATGTGCGGAGCAGCGTCTTCAAGCACGCCATCCTCACCACTGTGGCTGCAGCCGGCCTCACCGACAGGATCTCAGAGGATAAAGACACTCCCTTATCGCTGCCCATCCACCATTTTTGCGCTTTTGGGCCTCCTGGGGGGCCCTCGGAACCGGAACCTTTCTCAGATTGCACCCCGGGAGAGGCCCAGGGAGTAGCAGTATCGGTATTTAGTTCTCCCAGGATCGTGTACGCGTCGCCGACCGCCACGTTCTCGAGGAACTTGGACTCTGCAGATCCCCACAAGCACGTCCTCTTCGCACAGAAGTCCTGCAGCAACGCCACTGCAGACGTGACTGAGCCGATCGACGGCAGCGTAATCCACCTGTCGGATGCTCCAGAGGCCTCCGAGATACTCATGCGGGCGTGGGAGCGCATGCTCATCGATGACAAGCTCTCTCACTCCGAGGCCCTCGCTGCAGCAGTGAAGGCCACCAGCTACGCCGAGGTCGGCCTCCTGTCGTGCGATTCGTACAAGGTTCAGTCCGCCAACGCGACCGACGCTGACAAGATCTTGAGCTGGGAGATGCCCCCGGGCGTGGCGGAGAACATGAGGCGGCAGCACAAGAAGGCAAACGCCAATGCCTGGGTGGACCGACTGCGCAAGCAGGCTTCCAACAGCACCCAGCGCCGTGAACGCTCCGCGGAGATGAGCGACACCGCGCGCCATGCTGAGTGGAAGAAGCAGGCCGATGGCTGGAAGGATACATGGGAGAAGAGGGTGCAGGAGCTTCGTGACGAGAACGGGTACAACGAGACGGAGGTGAGAGAGCAGAGGAAGCTGCGGAGGCAGTGGAACAAGGCACACAAGACGACTCACAAGAAGCGCGTTCGTTACTTGCCTCCTGAGGAGGCGGCGAAGGTGAAGGCGAAGGACGAAGCGTGGGAGGCCTCTCAGCAGAAGCAGAAGGAGGACGATTTGGCAAAGGCCGAGAGCCGCAAGGAAGCGTTCCAGCGCGAGGTGGAGAAGGCGCAGCACGCAATGGAGGAAGAAGCCGACGAGGAGGGCGATGAAGATTCCACCGAGGACGAGGCAGGGGCAGCTTAGGCTAGAGTACGGGCACGGGCGTAGCTGCCTGTCAGGCGTCTTTTGCTACTTAGTGCTGCTGTTGCCCTGCGAGCGCAAAGTGTGCGGGGAAGAAGGCAGGTGCGTGGGTGCCGCCCTCACCTTTACCAGCACTTCCTCTCTCCTTTGTCCACCTCCCCATCAGCGCACCATCACAGAGGCCCCCCTCCCCCTCCCATCCTACTCCCCCTCCCGCTTCCCCCCCATTTCCCATTCCTCTTCGTGCGGCCCCCCTTCACTGAACATCCCTCCTCGCTCTTCACCTCTCCTCCCTCATCGACCTTCCTCCCTCCCTCCCTCCTGCCTCCCGATCTCTCCTTCTCGCGCTTCCCTCCTCTCTCTTCGAGGCTCTCCCACCCATCCTCCTCTTCTTCCCTTCTCGCTCCTCACCCCCGCATCCGTCCTCGGCCTCGTCCCTTATCCCTCATCCCACCTCCCCGTTCCCCTCGCCTCTTCTCCCTCCTCCGTCTCCCTCCTCCTTATTCCTCCTCCTCCACCTCCATGCTCCTGCCTTCTCCTCTTTCTCATCATCATCATCATCATCATCATCATCATCATCATCATCATCATCATCATCAGCATCATCATCATCATCTTCATCATCATTCGCATCATCAGTCTCGTCATGACAATCAACACCACCACCACCATCATCATCAGCATCACCATCACCATCATCATCGCCATCATCAGCACCACCACCACCATCATCATCACGCGTATCACCGTCGTCATCATGAGCATCTTCATCAGCATCATCATCACCATCATCACCATCATCATCATCACCATCATGCGTACCATCAGCATCATTAGCATCCTCATCCTCATCATCATCATCATCACCATCACCAGCATCATCATCAGCCTCGTCATCATCAACATCACCCCTATCATCAGCAACACCATCAGCAACGCATCACACCACCACCATCATCACCATCATCATCATCATCATCACTATCGCCATCACCGCTGCAACGATCATCATCACCACCATCGCCATCGTCAACGTCATCATCACCATCATCATCATTTCTACCATCACCATCACCATCACCATCATCATATCCACCATCAACAACAACATCATCATCACCACTATCATCATCACCATCATCATTATGATCATAGTCATACTCATCTGCATCATCATCATTATTGTTATCACCATCTGCAGCAACTGTAGTATCGTGGGCACCATCACCATTATTATCACCATCGCCATCATCAGCATCATCATCCTCAACATCATCATCACCATCGGCTTCATCACCACCATAAACGCCACCACCACCATCATACTTATCGCAAGCATCATCATCGCGATCCTTGTCGTCATCATCATCATCATCACCGCCACCATCATCATCACCATCATCATCATCATCATCATCATCATCATCATCATCATCATCATCACCATCATCATCCATTTTGGCTCAAGCGGCGGCATGGGCTGGAGCTCGCAACTGCCATCTGTTTCACGGCTTTACCTCCCCGTGCGAACAGTCGATGGGCTCGCGCAGCCGCTCACGCGAGCCCGCACCAGTGCCAGCAGCCATGGACGGACCCATGATGATGCACTTCAGAGAGATGCTTCGCTCCGGGATCAAGGAGCCTATTGCGAAAGATTTCGCGGACGTGAAGACGTCCATCGACAACGTGCGCTGGGACGTCGAGAGGCACGAAGGGCGTCCCAACAACATGGGGAAGGAACTCAAGGACCTGCGCGAGGGACGTTCGGCGGCTCCCTCATCCACGGTGTTTTCATCGATTGGGCATCCGCTGCGCTTCTCTGGGGTCGAGAGCGCGTCGGCACAGCCGGTCGCGTCGGGGCCGAAGAGAGCGTGGGACAAGATTTGTGTAACCACTGGCGGCTGGGATCGGGAGACGCCCCGCGAAACCATCCTGAACGAGGCTCGTGCGTTTACCGACGCCATTCCCGACAAAGCAGAAGATGGGGTGTTCGTCCCGCTCAAGCGTGCCAGTTTCCTGAAGGTCCGTTTCACATGTTCGGGGCGCATGTGGGCGTGGGTACGCTCGATATAAGGGAAGCAGATTACTATGCCGCAGCCGCATCACCTGGGTCCCGCATCCTTCTCGCGCGCGAAGAAGGAGATGACCGACAACCTTGGCGTTCATGCGGCGGACCTCGCGCTAGACTACATTCGTGGCATCATCTGGTGGAAGCACAGGTTCGGCGAGGTGGTCAAGACTACGGGCCTCATGAGCTTCAAGGAGCATGTTGCGGCCGACATCAGCGCCCACGCGGGCGTGCACCACAGCCTGGTCGTGTTCCAGGCCGAGGTCAACGCAGGCCAATGACTGGACAAGGAGAGGACTCTACAGGAGTCCGAGGAGCAGGTGAGCTTCAAACTTACCAGCTGGAATGCTCAGGGCATGGCGAAGCACGGCGCCGAGTACTTCGCGGCGACGCTGCGCGAGCAGCACGACTGCGACGTGGCCATCCTCCAGGAGTTTGGGTACTGGGGCAAGACTACGAGGCTGGAGGTTGGCGACGGGGACCTCTACCTGGTCGCATCACGGGTCGGGTGGCAAAACCAAATGGGGCTGCTGGTGCGCTCTCGGGCCCGACTTTTTCTTCAAGGAGATCTGCTACCATGGGGCCGCTCGGCAGCGCGCCTATTTCGCATCCACAATAAGGACAATTGGATAGTATGCAGTCACCTTTTTCCAGGGCGTTCCCTCAGTCAGCGAGAGGATTCTGGGCGAGCTCTCCGGCCTGATCATGATGGCACTGCCTGGGGCGTGCCCGATCGTGGGCGTGGGCGCGCAGACGGCCCTGCCCCCCCCCCCCCCCCCCCACCCCTCCCCGCAGGCGGACGAGGCGCGCTGGATTGAGGGCTTCCCAGTTGGACAGCGCACGCGTCGCGCCGAGATGTTGACGATACTACTTATGCAGCACGACCTGGCGGCGACGGGCGCGTTCGCTGCGGCGGCCAGCGGGCCTACCTGCCACTGCGATTTCAAGCGCCCTCCAGCCCATATCGATTATGTCCTGATACCTGCTCGCGACATCTGGAAGGCCAGCGCCGCGCTCGAGGAGATTGCCGACAGCGCGCAGTCCGACCACTCGGCCATCGAGCTGGAGTTCACCCTTGGCACCAGGAGGCGCTACATCTGGAGCGGAGGTCGTGCGCCTATGACCTATGAACGGCTGGACCTGCCTCGACAACCGCTTTCAGCGCTGGGGCCACAGCGCCTGCTGCGCCGACCGCTACCCATCGCCAGTTACCTGCATGACGGACGCGGTGTACCTAGCAGCCGCTGCCTGTGGCAGGGGCCCGCCCGCGAGGAAGGTTCCGAAGCTCCCCGAGAGTCGCGGGCTCATGCAGACGTTGCGGGCATTGGGGGCGCGTCGGCGGGTCGCCCGCGACCGCGTGCAGCGCGCGATCTACAGCAAGGATATCGCCAGGATTCGCAGGAAGATCTGGGCCGCGAACAGGGCCCTGCAGCGCTGCGTGCGCGAGGCTGGCAACCCCCGAGTATGAGCGCCTCGCCGAGCTCAGCCTGGGCCGATGCGCGACCAGCTGATGAACGGGGGGGGGGGAGATCGAGGACGACCCGCTGCGGATCGTGGGGCTCCTGGGGCGCGACGGCGGCAATGCCTTCGGGGCCAGCGATGGGGGGGGGCCTGTCGGGGTCTCTGCCTACCTCGCCCACTGCGCGACGGAGGATGTGCTCGGTATCCCGCCCTTCTCGCCCGAGATGTTCCGCGAGGCTCTGTGCGACATGAAGGCCGTGGGGGCACTTGGGGTGGGCGGGGTGGCAGCCGAGGTCCTGCAGTCCTTCAGCTCGGGCTTTCTCGCCTCGCTCGCGGCCGTTTTCGAGAACCGTTTCGCGGGGTGCCCGAGTATGCCGGGGGCCGAGCCTGGTCGAAGCACATCATCCAGCCCATGAAGAAGAAGGGGGACAAGCACGCGTTTAAGGGGTACGGGCCGATCACGCTTCTGACCGCCTTCGAGGAGCTCTACTCGGTCGGCCTGATCAAGCAAGCGATGTGCCAACAATCTGAAGCTGCGGAGCCCGCAGTGCGCCTATCGGGAGTTCCACCAAGCGATGTGCGTGATCTTCAGCATTCGCATGCTGGCGGAGAAGGCCGGCCAGTGGAACCGACCCATCTTCACCATGGACGGCGATATCGAGGCTGCCTTCGGCCGCGTCTCGCACCGCTCGGTCGAGGAGCCACTGGGGGGAAGGGCTGTGCCATGGCCCGTGATCCTTGCCATCGCGAGGGAATTGAAGGCCTCGGCGGTGACCGAGATGGGCTCGATCCAGACGCAACCTGTACCTGGGACTTGCGGCATTCGATATCTTCAACCTAGTGCTGGAAGATGCCTTGGGGGCGTTCCTGGGCGAGTGCTGGACGCGCGGCTTGGGATGCGAGTTCTCAGGCGAGGCGACGCTGTGCGAGGCGGGATTTCTCTGCGCCGAGCACTGCTGGCTCTTCGCGGGTGCGGCCGAGTCGCTGTGCCAGATGACGATGGCCTGGCGGCGCATCAAGCCTGTCTTGCTCTATGGATCGGGATCGTGGTGCCCCGCGGTCGAGGATCTGAATCTAATTCGTGTCGCGCGCCGCTGAATGTTCTCTCAGCTGATTTGCACGCAGAGATGGATGGAGGAGTCGCCAGAGGACTTCTGTCGCCGCCGTTGGCGCCGCGTCTCTGCTGCTCTCCAGTCCCACGCGACGTGGGACATAGACGTGCATCTTCGCAGACTTACCTGGGCTGGGCACCTAGCCCGCCAGACAGCCCTGCCAGACGCCACGCCTGCCCAGCTTGTGCCTGTCCATCTGCTGCAATGGCGCAGCATGGCCTGGCTTCAGGGAATGAAACGCGAGCGCGGATCCTAGGCGCATGGCCGCATATTCAAGGTCTGGCGTTGGGAAATGAACCTCGCCCGACTTCTCGCCTCCGATTGGCTCGCGGATGCAGATCAGTGCAGCAAGGCGGAGTGGTTAGCTCGCGTTCGCCCGATTGCACGCCAACTGCGCTGACCTCAATCTTCTCGCGCCGCAGGCGAGGCGCTTTTGCATGGCGTTTCTTTCAGCGGCTTGACGTGCCGCCTCAGGCGCAAAGGGTGGCCTTGAGGGCGCGGTGCAAGGTGCACAGTGCATCGTCATCATCCGCATCATCATCACATCATCGCATCGCCAACTCATCAAATCATCATCATCGTCTTCATCTTCATCATACTCATCACCATCACTATCATCTCCATCCTCCTCCGCCTCTTCCACCTCGTCCTCCTCTCTACCGCCATTATCATCGGCATCTGCACCATCCGCCATCACCATCATCATCGCCACCATCATCGTCATCACCATCATCACCTCCGCCGTATCCATCACCATCACCATCACCATCACCATCACCATCACCATCACCATCACCATCACCATCACCATCACCATCACCATCACCATCACCATCACCATCACCATCACCATCACCATCACCATCACCATCACCATCACCATCACCATCACCATCACCATCACCATCACCATCACCATCACCATCACCATCACCATCACCATCGCCATCACCATCACCATTACCATTACCATCGCCGCCACCATCACCATGACCATCACCATTGCCACCACCATCGCCATGACCATCACCAGTCTCGTCACCAGTCTCATCACCATCAGTATCACCAGGACCATCAAAAACATCACTGCCATCGCCGTTGCCATCACCATCGCCACCATCACCAACGTCGCCACCATCACCACCATCACCGCCATCGGCACCATCACCACCATCACCATCACGATCACCACCACGACCACCACTATCATCATCATTGTCGTCATCACCATCACCATCATCACCATCATCGTCCTCGTTAATATTATCATCATCGTCATCGTTTTCATTGCCACCATCATCATCACCATCATCACCATCAGCATCAACATCATCATCACCGTTCTCATCCTCATCATAACCATAATCAAGCTCATCATCAGCAACATTACCATCACCAATGAAATTTTTCTCATTGTTAACCTCACCGTCACCACCATGACCATCACGGTTACCACCACTACTTTTTACCACCACCACCACCATCATCATTATCATCATCATCATCATCATCACTTCCCGCCCTCACCCCTCATCCCTCATCCTTCATCCCGCTTCCCTCCTCATTCTCCCTCGTTCTCATCCCTCATCCTTCAGCCCTCATCCCTCTCGTCGTTCATTCTCTCATTTTCCCTTCTTCTTTCTCAGCCGCCCTCTTCTCCCACCTCCGCTACCCCCTTCGCCTTATCGTCCTTCTCTCCTCCCTCCCTCCTCGTCCCACTCTTCGCGCTCCTTTCTTCCTCCCTCCTCCCTTTCACCTCTTCTCCTCCGTCCTTTTCTTTATCCTCGATCCTTCTCCCCGTCCTCCTCCTCCCCTCCTCCTCCTCATTCTCCTACCCTTCCTCCTCCTCTTCCTCCTCCTCCCCCTCATCCCTCCTCCTTCTCGTCGTCCTCCTCCTCCTCCTCCTCTCCCCCTCCCCGCCGCCTCCCTCCCGCTCCCACTCCCCCCGGTCCTGATTCTTACGCTCCTCCTACTGCTCCTCGTCCCTCTTCCAACTCTCCCATCCTTCCTCGTCCCTTGCATCGTTCTGCTCCTCCTCCGCCTCCTGCTCCTGCTTCTGCTCCCGCTCCTGCTCCTGCTCCTGCTCCTGCTCTTCCTCTTCCTTCTCCTCCCTCTCCCTCCTCATTTTCTTCATCACTCCTGCCTACCTCCCCCCTCCCTCATCACTGTTCCCTCATCCGTGCTCGCGTCACTACTCCCCCGCCGCCTTCCCTCCCGCTCCCAACCCATCAGCCTTCCCATCTCCTCCCGGTGTCAAAGCAGCGGTCTCAGGGTCCTCGGGTGAGTCAGTCCTTGCTGGTTTGCCCCCCGCGCCGGAATCTCCAGCCTTCGCTTTCCTACCGCTCTGACTCAGGCCGTGGCCCGTCCCCCAAGTCTGCTTAACACGCGGAGGGGTGCGCTCTGGCCATGGTTTCCAGGCAGATCCAGCCGTGGCGACGAGAAGCCTTCTGGAGACCTAAGATGGTCGAAAACCGTGTAGATTTTCAGTTCTCGAAGCTTCGACTCCGACGCTTACGACACGTGAGATCAAGCATATAAAACGGCAATCGTGGCGGCCACAAGCCGTGCCGGTGGCATTGTCTTTGCCAAGGAGTGGCATGCCCCTTCCCAGCCTCCCCCGCTCTGCGATGTAGACATGGCTCACAACTGACCACGTAGCGACACAGCTATGTCAACTCATGCCCAACAGGGGCAGTCATGTTTTTTCCGTTGGGGGTTGATTATCACACATCTGGTCGACGCAGCCGATCTGGCTCGAAGCCGCGGCCTGTCCCTACTCCGTTACGATACGTGACCCCGCTCGGCGCAGCAGCACATCTTCGGCAGCGATGCTCGCACGCGCCGCGGCGCTCGCGGCGGCGCTGTCGCTGGCCGCGGAAGGCCTGGCTCTGCAGGCCCAGCAGCCGGAGCTCGCCCAGGCGGCCCCCTGCCACTCCTCCACCCCCCAGCGGATAGAGTTTCGGACGGTCCGAGGGTCCACGAACCAATTTTTGGCCTCCGGAGTCCAGAGCCTTCGGATACTTCCGCGGAGACCTCCAGAGATCTCACCGAGCCGGGTCTGCAGGAGCATCCAGTGGAATGTGCAGACGAGTCCGCCGTGAAGCTGAAGCTCGGAGTCAGCCTGAGCGTACCCAGGAGTAGAATTGCCGAACCTGACGTTGAAGAAGGATGATTGTGATGATGATGATGATGATGATGATGATGATGATGACGACGACGATGACGATGACGATGACGATGACGATGATGGTGATGCTGATGATGCTGACGGTGCTGATGATGCTGATGATGTCGATGATGATGATGATGATGATGATGATGATGATGATGATGATGATGATGATGATGATGATGCTGATCATGATGATGATGATGATGATGATGATGATGATGATGATGATGATGATGATGACGATGCCGATGCTTATGCTCATTGAAATGATGATGCTGATGATGATAATGATGACGATGACGCCGACGATGATGATGATCATGATGATGCTGTTGCTGGTAATGATGATGCTGCTAGATGATGATGATGATGATGATGATGATGATGATGATGATGATGATGCTGATGATGATGATGATGATGATGATGATGATGATGATGATGATGATGATGATGACGACGGCGGCGGCGACGACGATGATGATGACGATGACGATGACGGCGATGATGATGCTGATGACGATGGTGAAGATGATGATGTTGATGTTTCTGCTGATGATGATTATGATGATGATGATGATGATGATGATGATGATGATGATGATGATGGTGGTTTCGATGACGATGATGCTAATGATGATGTTGCTGATTATGATGCGGATGATGATGACGATGATGATGATGAGTAGGAGGAGGAGGGGGGAGGATGAGGAGGATGAGGAGGAGGAGGAGGACGATGTGGAGGATACCGTAGAGAAGGAGGACTGCACGGCGAGAGGAGGATGGAGAGAGAGGTTGGATGATGATTATGCTGCTTCTGCTGCTGCTGACGACGACAATGGTGACGATGAGGATGATGATGATGATGCTGGTGATGATGCTGATGATGGTGATGATGCTGATGCTGATGCTGATGCTGATGCTGATACTGCTGATGACGATGCTGATGATGATGCTGATGACTATGATGATGATAATGATGATATTGTTATGCCACTGATAATGATACTGATAATGATAATGATGATGCTGATGATGGTGATGATGATGATAGTGATGCTGCTGCTGACGATGCTGTTGATGATGCTGCTGATGATGCTGATGATGATGCTGATGCTTATGCTGATGCTGCTGTTGATGATGCTGATGGTGATGGTGATGGTGGTGGTGATGATAATGATGCTGATGATGGTGATGCTGATTCTGATGATGACGATGATGATGATGATGATGATGATGATGATGATGGCGATGGTGATGGTGATAGTGGTGGTGATGATGCTCATGATGATGTTGATGGTGGTGATGATGATACTGATGATGACGATGATGATGCAGATGATGATGATGATGATGATGATGATGACGATTATGATGATGATGATGATGATGATGATGATGATGATGATGATGATGATGATGATGATGATAAGCGGGTGATGATGCTGATGATGATGATGCTGATGATGATCATGATGATGAGATGATGATGGTGACGATGATGATGTTGATGCTGATGATGATGATGATGATGAGTCTGATGAGGATGATGACGACTTAATAATGATGATGCTGATGATTGTGGTGGTGTTGGTGTTGGTGGTTGTGATGATGATTAGGATGAAGAATATCAGTAAACATAATAACAATATTAATAACACTAATATCACGAATAATTAGGAGAAAAACTAATAATGATACGAAGACCACTAATAATACACATGCTAATAATGATATGGAGAATCATGATAAGAGTGATAATGAGACTGAGAAGAGTAATACTATTAAGAAGACGAGTGCTAATACTATTAAGTCGAAAAATAGGACGACGACGACTACTACTACTACTACTGCTACTACTATTAAGAAGACGAGTGCTAATATTATTAAGTCGAAAAATAGGACGACGACGACTATTACTACTACTGCTACTACTACTACTCTTACTATTACTACTACTCCTACTACTACTACTACTACTACTACTACTACTACTACTACTTTTACTACTACTACTAGGGTCACACCTGACTTAGACTTATGGCCGGTGAGTTTTTTTTTTTTTTGTTTTTTTTTGTTTTTTTTTGTTTGTTTTGTTTTTTTTTCCCCCAATGGAAACCAATTGTTTAAATTAGTTTTCTATTGAAAACCAATGGTTTGGCTTCGTTTTCTATTGAACACCTATGGTTCTACTTGGCTTTCTATTGGGAACCACTGGTTTTAATGAGTTTTCTAGTGGGAACCAATGGTTTTTATTAGTTTTCCATTGGGAACCAAAGTACTAGTACTAGTAGTAGTACTAGTACTAGTACTAGTACTAGTACTAGTACTACTACTACTACTACTACTACTACTACTACTACTACTACTACTACTACTACTACTAATACTCACAATAATGATAACAACAATCATGCTACTAGTAATAATACTAATGATCTTAATATTAATAATAATAGTAGTCATGGTAAAAAGCAGAAGAAGAAAAAGAGGAAGAGGACTTCCGACGTCGGCAGGAGTCCTCCATCAAGGCCTTCGCGGATCTCTCCTTCCAAGAATCTCTTGGAAGCCTCTGGGCAGCTTCCCGGCGCCATCCTGCGACCCTCTGGGGTCCATTTGTGGATCTCTCGGAGCCCTCCCGGTGCCCTCCCTCGGGCCTTGTGTGGGCCCCCTAGGGCACATCTGCGACGGCATCGATCAAGCAGGGGGCCGCATCTCTTCCTGAAGCCCTCTCGTGGCGCTCTTGGGCGCACTCGGGGCCGTCTTGGGCCTCTTCTGGGCTGGGCCCCTCCTTCGGCTCTCTTGGGCACGCCTTGGGCCATTTTGAAGTATTTTGAAGTATCTGGGCCCCTCTTTCGGCTCTCTTGGGCAAGCCTTTGGCAAGCCTCTTGGGCAGTATCGAGAGGCAACAACATTGAACGCTTGGGTTGTCGAGTGATTCTATAGGGTTACGCCACATCCGCCGATTCCTTTATTTGAATTGCGGGTTGGGGTGCTTCTGGGCAGCGGGGTCGGTCCCACGAGGGGCCGGGGGGTTCATGGAGGTTGCGGTGTTGCGCCCGGGTTGTGGTAAGGAGAAGGGACATCCAAATGCTTGTGTAGGTTCGGTTGTCTTGGGCCTTTTCTGGGAGAGGTTCGGGGCATGTGTGGCGCCGTCGGATGATTCAGGTATTGTTTCGTTGGGGTATCGGTGTTAACATGGAGTTTAGCGAGAGGTACCCAGGGGGGGGGAAAGACGAGAGTAGCACGGCCGAAGGACTCGCACGCCTTGCCACCCCCCATGAAGCGGGGTTGGCGGACTGGAGTTCCTTCAGCCTGGCGGATCACGCGTTAGCTTTGAAAGCGTGCTGTCCCTGACATCAGTGCTACGTCCAGTCGGCCGCTCGTGGTCATTCACGGCGTGTCAGACCGCGTTGTCGTTGTGTACTCCGTGCCCGCTCTTCCTCTTCCTTCGCTCCTTCTCCTCTCTGCTCCACGTAATCTTGGCCAGTTCGTCAGCCGAGTCTGAGCTGCTGCCGCTTCGATTGCCACTGTGCCCTTCCAGCTTGGGAGCGCCCTACTTCCCCTGGCGCGCTGGGAGTGGGCCGAGGTGATACGAATCGGGGCCAATGTCGTCCCTGCCTGTCCCGTTTCCCTTTCCGTATTCTCCTCCTCCTCCTCTTCTTCCTCCTCCTCTTCCTCCTCTTCCTCCACTTATTTTTTCCACATCCTCCCTTATCATTTCTTCCGATGTCCATGGAATGGCTATCGGCTATCAGTGTAATTGTTGTCTCACTTCGTTCTGCCGTCACGACCGTGCACCTGCCGTGCCGACCCGTCCAGCCGCCCTCCCTCCCCATCTCTTTCTGGCCAGTGCTTTGCACTTCTGGCAGGATCCAGGGTTTGAGCCATCCCGTTGCGCCTGACAGTTTTTCCGACACTCTCGCTGTCTCCCCCATCGCCTCCTCGGAGTCGATGCTGTGTGCAACAGTCCGCGAGCTTTTCGGTCTGGCCGCACGATTTTGCACAGGCCAAGTGCCTAGCGTCTTCTTCGGAAAGAAGGTTGACATGCCTGAGGCGCTGAATAAGCACAACGCGTTGCGCCGAGAAACTCGAAGCGTCCACGTGCGCGTCATACAATCGCAAGCGAAAAGCAGAGGCAGAGACGGAGGCGCTGAAGTGCCACGCGACAGGATGCGGGGTGACCCTTCAGGCCTCCAGGCATTTGAACCGCACGCAAATGAATGATCATCGGGCGAAGACAGACGCCAGAGTGGTCTGCGGGGTTTGTAGCGAGCGTGGCATCACCGCGAAGGGTGTGGCGGTTGCGGCGAAGCGACGCGCGCAGGCGTGAATGCGCGCTGCGTGCCGACAGAGTTTCCCGCGACAGAAGCACGTCAGCCCCAAACATGAAGAACACCGCTTCCAGAGGACTCCGCGAGTGGCGTGCGCAGATTGCAAGCGCCTCGGGTCACGGCGCGCAGCTGGCAGTCGTATCATCAGTGCAGTGGCACGTGCGACGGGAAGCTCCCGAAGTCGGTGCTCGCCGTGCGGAGCGCGCACGTCGCGCGTTTTCCGCCGAGTGCGGCGCCCGGAGGTGCAGGTCGCGCGGGTGACCGCCTCGGCGTGCACATTTCCGAGGGGCGCACGCGCGGGGACGCCGCCTCGCGGGGTCGGGAGCGGAGGCTGTTTTTTGAGTGAGGGGGGGGGGTCGACGAGGAGAATGAGGGAACGGAGGGAAAGGAGGCACAAAGGGGAGCAGGAAGGTAGTATCCACACCGTGCAAGCGCAGTGGGCGAGGGGGAGGAAGGAGGGAGGAGGTGTGGAGGGGGGCAGATGGGGGAGGAAGGACAGAGGAAAAAATCCAATTGGCGCGGTCGCGCCGTATCTGACATCCTACTTTCCATCCTACTTTTCCATTGCCATGGAGGGAAACCCGTTATTTTCGCAGACTCGGAGGTCGAGCAAACACATAGAACCCGCAAGGTCGATATTGACCAAGAGGACCTCGGACATGAATTGTGTGGGGGCTGAAACTGAGAGGGCCGTGGGGTTTTGGAGGGGGACGAGCAAGGAAGAGGCCTGAATGATTCGGACGGGAGGCGGAGGGAAGTATTCGTCCAGTGTGTCAGAGTCCGTGAATGCGGCCATCTATATAGCTGGAACGGAGCTTTGGAGGGGCCGAGCACGTTCTCATTGGGAATGCTAAAGTGGAAATCGAAGGGGTCTAGATCTCTTGGGGTCCGGTGAGCATTTCACGACGTCGGAGATCTGGGATCTTCGCATTCCTCTCTCTGGGGATGCCTGGGCTCCCCCCCCCCCTCGCTCATCGTCGCCCTCCCCTTGGAGGAGGTAGCGACACCGACGCCGCTGCCTTTCCTCGTCGCCACGGCTGGATTCGCCTCGAAGCCTTGGTAGGGACGCACCTCTGAAGAGGTCCAGGCCCATCGGCCGTGGAAAGCAGGAACTTGAAGGTTCCCAGATCCCAGTCCACCTGCGGCGACGTCCCATCTCAGGAGTCGAGCGGGTCTCTCTCTTCCCTCCTCCTCAGGGGGCGGCGGGGAGGAGGAGGAGGAGGAGGAGGAGGAGGAGGAGGAGGAGGAGGAGGAGGAGGAGGAGGAGGAGGAGGAGGAGGAGGAGGAGGAGGGAGGAGGGAGGAGGAGGAGGAGGGGAGGAGGAGGAGGAGGAGGAGGAGGAGTTTCAGCGCCCTCCTCCTGCCCCCCCCCCCTTTCTGCGCCCCCGCGCCCGCTCGCCAGGCGGGGGGCGAGCTGGCGGGCAAGCAGGAGGCGCAGGGGGAGTGGCCCTGGGGCCGCCGCGCGAAGAAGCAGGCGGAGGAGCAGCAGGCTCGGGTCGGGGCTCAAGTCAGAGAAAGAAAAGGTACCCATACCTCTGCCCTCTCGCCCGCTTTCCCCTCGTTGGGCCTCCTTGGAGGCCCTCGTCGCCACCGCTGGATTCGCCTCGAAGTCCTGGTCAGAGCGCGCCCCAGGAGAGGTTTTGGGGGGTAGCGGTATCGGTACCTCTCGGTTTCCCCATCAAGAGACCGGGGGGTCGATGCAAGCGGGGGTCAGCCAGAGCGCCAGAGCTTGCAGGATCCTGCAGGGCCAGGGGTGCACTGACCCGGGTTTGGGTGCAAGATTCGTGCAGGATCCTGCAGGATCCTGCAGGGCTCGACTGACCCGGGTCTGCATTGGCCCGGGTCAGTGCGTCCCCGATCGGGTCGGCCAGCAGGTAGCCGGATTCAGCGCAGATGGAGCTCGGCCAGGGCGCCTGGTATCCTGCAGGATCCTGCACTGCCAGGTTTTGGCCGAGCCAGGTTTTGGACCCGTTCGCGGCCTTAGATGTGGCCCTCTACAATTATTGGCTGAGCCAGCTTTGGGAAGCCGCCCAAGCAGCTGCAGCGCATTTTTGTTCTTTGCAAACTAGCGGAATTTGTTTTGCGCTGAGCCGGGTTAGTCCACGCCCGATCGGAGGGCGTCGGCATACCCGCCTGCACTGGTTCTTGGCCAGGCCGACCCTGGGCCCAGCCAGGATCGGTGCAGATGTCAACGTCGGGCCTGACGAAAGGGGAGGGGTCGCCGATTGGGAAGGGGGGGGGCGAGGAAGTTGCAGCACGCAGCTGGTTCCAGCTTGGCCGCCAGGCCCTTCCCTGGATACGTTGCGTGGCCGCCTCCAGCGCCGGGGGCGCACGCAGCGGACTCGCTCACTTTCCCTCTGCTGCCCCCCGCCCCTGTCGTCCGTCCGCCCCCGAGCATGGCTGGCGTCGCCCTGCAGGCGGCCGCGCCCGCGCAGAACCGCGTGGCCGTGCTGGTCTCGGGCTCCGTCGAGCGCCTGCTGCTCGCGCCGCTCCTCCAGAACGTCGTGCGCCCCAACGCCCTGAAGGGCCTCCAGGTGGACCCCGTCCCCAGGGGCGGCCCGGCCGAAATTGGCATCGTTTCGGCCCGACCCTCACTCACGCACATCGTGCCTTATGGACGGGCACCCACAGGACCCTCAGCGGGCGCAAAAACGGCCCTCAGGGGCTCAGAGGAGGAGGAGGAGGAGGAGGAGGAGGAGGAGGAGGAGGAGGAGGAGGAGTAGGAGGAGGAGGAGGAGGAGGAGGAGGAGGAGGAGGAAGAGAGCACGGTACCGCTGCCCGTGTCTCGTCCCTTGGGAGGTGCCCTGGGAGTGGCTGAACTAGTTTTTTATTGTTCCCCCAAGGGCGGCCCTCCAGGGGGCGCTAGCGCGCGTCCTGTATCCTCTTGCATCCTCCTGCTCCTCCTGCCTTCTCCTGCTCACTGCGGTGCTGCTGATGGAGTGGAGAGGATGGATGAGGGAGGAGGGGCGAGGAGGGAGAATGGCGAATGGAGCAGCGTTGAGGGCGACATGGGGGGAGGAGCATGGGAGAGGAGGGAGCGGTGGGCAAGCGGAAGGAGGGATTGGGGAGAGTGAAGGTGGGGGAGGGGAGGGATGAGGGAGCGGAGGACAAGGCCGACGACGAAGGCGGAGGGATGATGTTGGGGCTCCTCCTTTGTTTCAGGTGGACCTGTTTTTCAGGCTGACGGCGCCCACGAAGTTCTCGAAGGCCGCCCTCAGCAAGCTTTCCGGGAGCAGCGACCCGAAGATCGCGACCCTGATTCAGGATCATCTTCCTCATCCTCGTCTTCCTCTCCTCCCCGCCCTCCTCCCCTCCCTTTTATAATCCTTCCATTCCTCATCAACAGTCTCGTCATATCCCTCTGTCTTTTCCTTCCCCTTTTCCGCGCTCAGAGTTACTCAGCATGAATACGACACTCCTTTCTCTCCCGAATATGGCCAAGGGGTCGCCCGTCACGCTTGGCGTATGGCGTGTGAATTTGGTCATTCCGGTTGGTTTTCCAACCAGAGCGTTTTGGGTGTCTTAGATGGTGCTGCCTGTGCAGCGTCTGCCTTACTGTAGGGTCGCAGCGTGACTCCCGTCGTTCAGCATGACGCTCTCTCCACAGCGCGGGCCACTTTTTGGATCCGAGTTTTTCCTCATCGTTGTCGCCCCCCTCCTTTCCCGTTCTCAGCCGTTCTCTGGTCCTCCTGCTCCTCCCGCTCCTTCCACTCCAGTTCCCGCTGCTGCTGTTCGACCTCGCCCTCCTCCTTCCTCATCCTTTTCCTTTTCCTCCTGCCCACCCTCCTGCTCAGCCGCCACCTCCTTCTCCTCCTCTTTCTCTTTCTCCTCCTGCTTCTCCTCCTCTGCCTCCTATGTGCGCAGCTTTTCCGATCTCGCATATCACGTTGGGGTCTTTTGAGAAATTCCAGGTCCGCTATGACGCGCGTCCGCGGGTAGAGAAGCAATCGGCGCAATGGGACGGGATGGGTGGGATGGGGTAGGATGTCAGATACGGCGCGAGCGCATCCAGCTTGCCACTGCGTCTCTCCCCTCTCCTCGTCCCGCTTCAGACCGCGGACGAGACGAGCTTCAACTCCACGGTGATGGACTTCATCTGCACGTATGCCGAGTCACATCTCGCCGCCAGCTGCCAGTGGGACCTCGAGACGAGCGACCCGCTGTCCTTGCCCCCCGACGCGACCCACCGCCGGATCATGACTCAAACCAGTCCGCTTGACACCCCTCTGGGCAAGGAGGCCATCACCAGGTGAGCAGGTGCAGTTGAAACGTTGGAACAGCGACTGATTTGGTTTTGGAAGGGGCTGGAAGGGGCTCGGGGTCCCTGGTCCCCGAGGTCATCCCTTGGGTTTTACCACGGTCTCTCTTCGTGAATCTACACGCAACTGTGGCCAAGAAGGGGCATCGCTTCCTATGTATGGGGTTCCTCGGGCTGGTGTAAGGCGTCCCCCCAAAAGCATCTTTCTGCAAGCACTGCTTGTACTAATGGCCTTCTATTACCGTGCTCCTTCTTGACGCTTCGCGTATCCCCACCAGTCGCGCTAGGTAATTAGGTTTCGCTCGTAGCCCGGGCTGACTTCGGACTCCGCCTGCGCTTTCGCTTGCGGCCGCGACGAAAAAGAGTATCCCCACCAGCCCATCTAGAAACGCTGCCCAGGCGAGATGCATTGATCAGGGAAGTGTAGGATCAAGCCGTAGAACAGAAGGAGGGGGGGCACCCCGTCAAACCGAAGTTCGGGATCAGCTTGAGCAGACCCAGTATTCAATCATAGATGCTTTCTCGGATCTTCCGACATGGGAGCCTCTTGGTAGCCTACTTGGGTCATCCCAGGGTCCTCGGGCCCCCGTAGAGCTATTTTGGAAGCCTTTGGGGCTCTCTTGGGGCCCTCTTGGGACCTCTCGAGGTCCTCTTGGTGGCCTTGGGGGCCCTCTTGGAGTCATCTTGAAGGACATCCATCAAAAGGGCCCCTAACAGCCCCAGAGCCATGCTCGGAGCCGTTGGGGCTCCCTTGGGGCCCTCTTGGGACCCTCTCGGGAGCCTTGGGGGCCCTCTTGGGGCCATCTTGGAGGGGCTCCTTTATTAGCGCCCTCCTCCGGGGCACCCAGAATTCCGTCTTGGAGCCTCCCCGGAGCGGTCTTGGAGCGCTCCTGGGCCTTCTTGAGGACTCCATTGGGCCCCTCTTGGGGACCCAATCCTTTTGGAGTCGTCTGTGCTCTCTGGGGCCCTCTTTGCACCGTCTTGGGCCACGCATGCCATCTGACGCCTCGCGACCCCCCCCCGTCTAGATCCCATATCAAGGGGGCTCCACCAGAGGGCCCAAATGGCACTGGGGAGCATTGTGCCCCCTCCATCGCACGCTTCGTGGCCTAGTAGGGGGTTCCACCGAATGCGATCCACAAGTGCGGTGTTCACAAGTGCATGCAGTAGGTGCTTGTACGTATGTTTTCATGCATGTGCTGCGCATGTACATTTGTACGCATACAGACCGTTAGTTTGATTACCGACTTGTGCGATAGGCAGGTCGGACCGTACGAAGCGAGGCCATCGAGAGCCCTCAGTAGCTCTTTCTCCCCCGTAAGGTGGTCTATGATATAATATGTGTGATGTGTGGAGTCGTGTTGGTGTGTCTTTCGCGTGTGTCTTGCTTGTGGTTCTTGTCTGCGCGATAATGCAGGTGGCGTTCGTTGTCTCGCTTGTGGACTGCGGCACGCACCAAAGCCAAGGAGATGCAGGAGCCCTACACGGCCGTCCTTGCGACGCGCGAGGACGACTATTGGCTGGCCCCCCGCCTCATTAACATCGAGGACTTCCAGATGGATTCCATGAAGGTTGCTGTGACCCCCTGCCTCCACTCCTCCGGCGTCCACGAGAAGACTGTGCTCATGGGCCACGACGCCGCAGACGTGATGCTGCGCATCTACCAGGCGTGGCAGAAGGGCGACATGAGGTTGGAGGGCACTCGCACGGCCGAGGAGGCTCCTTGTCCGCTCTCTCACCACTCCCCTTCTCTGGGTACACTCTACCTCGCCTTTCCCCTCCTCGTCCTCCTACCCGAGGCTTGGTTCCGTCTCGCCACGGAGTCCGAGCTCAACATGAAGCCCGAGCCCATGAACGCAGCGTCGGCATCGTACACGCACAGTGGGCTGCCATGCTTCCAGGAAGGCACCTTCAACCTGAACCAGGACGAGGACTACGAGCAGTGCTTTGCCGAAAGCGCCGAGGACTCCCCGATGACGAACCTCTTCAGGACGTTCAGCTGCGAGACCATGAGCCCGGATTCAACTCGCTGTGCGGTAGCACGTCCAGAAGATGAGGGAATGACGCCCGATGAGGGTTTCGGGAGAGATGAGGGTGAGGACGAGGATGTGGATGAGGATGATGATTATGATGGTGAGGATGATGATGCTGCTGTTGCTGATGATGATGCTGAGGATGAGGATGAGGATGATGATGAAAATGATGATGATGGTGGTGGTGATGATGATGATGCGGACGATGATACGGATGATTATGATGATGCTGATGATGGTGATGATGATGATACTGATGATGATGCTGATGCTGATGATGGTGATGATCATGCTCGTGATGATGATGACGATGATGATGCTGATGCTGATGATGATGATGCTGATGATGATGATGATGATGACGATGATGATGATGATGATGATGATGATGACGATGCTTATCATGATGGCGACGATGAAGATGATTTGGATGATGATGATGATGATGATGATGATGATGATGACGATGATGATGATGATGATGCTGATGATGATGATGATGATGATGATGATGATGACGATGACGCTGATGATGATGGTGATGATGATGGATGATGCTGATGAGTATGATGATGAATGGATGCTGACGATGATTATGATGACTATGATCATGATGGTGATGATGATGCTGATGCTGATGATGATGCTGATGATGATGATGCAGACGATGATGCTGATACTGATGATGAGGAGGATGATGCTGCTGCTGGTGATGACGACGATGATGCTGATGATGATGATGATGATGATGACGACGATGCTGCTGCTGATGATGATGCTGATGATGATGATGATGATGATGATGATGATGATGATGATGATGATGATGATGATGATGATGATGATGATGATGATGATGATGATCATGATGATGGTGGTGGTTGTGGTGGTGGATGATGATGGTGATGATGAGGAGGAAGAGGAGGAGGAGGAAATGGAGGAGGAGGAGGAGTTCGAGGCTTTTGGGAGATGATGAGGATTTTGGGAGATGATGAGGATGATGATGAGGATGAGGATGTGGATGTGGATGAGGATGAGGATGATGCTGATGCTGATGCTGATGCTGCTGCTGATGATGATGATGATGATGATGATGCTGATGACGATGATACTGATGATGAGCATGATGATAATACTGATGATGATGCTGCTGTTGCTGATGATCATGATGATGATGATGATGATGATGATGATGATGGTGGTGATGGTGGTGGTGGTGATGATGATGATGGTGGTGGTGGTGGTGATGATGATGCTGATTATGAAGAATATGATGCTGCTGCTTCTTCTGCTGCTGCTGCTGCTGCTGATGATGATGATGATGATGATGATGGTGGTGGTGGTGGTGGTGTGGTGTGGTGGTGGATGATGATGCTGAGGAGGAGGAGGAGGAGGAGGAGGAGGAGGAGGAGGAGGAGGAGGAGGAGCAGCAGAGGAGGAGGAGGAGGAGGAGGAGGAGGAGGAGGAGGAGGAGGAGGAGGAGGAGGAGGAGGAGGAGGAGGAGGAAGAGGAGGAGTTCCAGGGATGCGCGACATTGCGCACTACCAGAGTGCACCCAGTTCCATGTGTCCAGACTAGGCAGCTTGCTCACAACACAATCCCTCCGACGCCGTGTTTTTCGTGCGGCTACAGAGCTGTCGGTCCCACCTTTCTCTCATAGACGCAGCGCAGCGCGTTTTGGAAGACTAAACTCAGAGGCATTTGGCGTCCTGCTTTGTCCAGATGCCGTAGGTCTGGGCACCCGATGCTCTCAGAGGCCTCTCGATTCGGGGCGGGCCCTGGGGCGCATTCACGGACTGCGGGGAGTGGGCTGTCTTGTCCTGCGCCCCTCGACGAGTGCGCCCCCCCATACCCCCGACCTTGGGGAGGGATGGCCGCACGCGGGGCTCACACCCTCCCCTGCGCGTTGTGGGTAGCATGGCCCAGGGCTTCGTACAGACAGCTCTCCTGGGAAGGTAGTGCCTGATGGCGCCCATCGATCCTCGAGGGTTGAGATGCCTGCCTTAGGCCTCCAGAGGCCCTCCCCGAGGCCCTGCCAGAGACCCTCCAGGAGGCCTGAGAGCTCGAGAGACTTCCTGAGGCCTTGGGGGTAGCCCAGGGTGGTCTCGGCCCCGCCCTGCGCCGCCTCCCGCGCCAGGGGGGTTAGGGTGCTGAGAGCGCCCGGGGCCACCGCCGTGGGCTCTGAGGCCCGCCCAGCTTGCCTCGGGGGCCGTCCGTGCGCAACTCACCCCCATAGCCTCCCAGACCCCCCCGAGTGGTGAGAGAAATCACGGCGTGCGCTTCTTCGCAGCTTTCTCGGCCTCCAGGGGCCCTTTGCCGATCTTCGGGACCGTCAAGAAACGCCTCGGGATGGAAAAGCGGTCCCCGGGAAGGTCCTTCCCGGGGACCGCGTCGTGGAAAAGACGCGACGTCGGGGGGCCGAACGTCGTGGAAAAGACGTCTGGGGGTCGACGTCGTGGAAAAGACGCGACGTCGGGGTCCAGACCTGGGGATCGAAGTCGGGGGGCCGAACGTCGGGGTCCAGGCCTCTGGGAGTCGACGCTGTGGAAGAAAGACGCGGCGTCGGGGGTCTGGGCCTGCCGAGGGGGGAGTTCGGAGGGCGTCAGCGCCTCGTCGCCCGTCGCGGCGGCCCCTGCTCAGGAGGGAAAAAAACACACAGACACGATTAATCGTCGATTCCCTCGAAAACATGGGAAAACATGGGAAGTGGGGGGGAAGACAAAAACCCAGAAAATATGGGAAAGTATGGGGAATCTTTTTATTTGTGCGCATTTATTTGTGTGTCCCAGGGCCCCTTCACCTGCTTGAGACACGAGGGAGGAGGGGGGAGGCGGGAGGAAGGAGGGAGGGCTAGGAGGAGACAAAAGTGTTTGGGCCCGCAAATTTTTCTTTGTGTCTCGCCGAAGGCCAGCAACAGCTGCATGCGCACTAGCAGAAGCCTCTGGTCTTCGCTGGGCCCCCATACTTACCCACACTCGTGGCGGCGCCTCTGGCGCCGCTCCCGGCGCGCTCCGCGTTCTGGAGAAGGGGCGTGGACGACTCAGGAAATTCGCGCGGGCCTCTGTGAGTTTCTGCTTGCGCCTTTCTTGGTATTCTCAATATATATATATTTATATATATATATATATATGTATATGTATATGTGTGTGTGTGTGCTTGGTTTGTTTCGGCCTCACGAGGCCTTTTCTGTTCCTCGGGACCGTCAGACGACGATCGGAGATGAGAAACACTGTCTCCTGGCATGGGTCGAGAGCTCAGAGTCGGCGGGGAGCGAGGGGGGCAAGTGAGAAGGAGACGGCCCTCTCAGAAGGCGGCGGGACTTCTCAGAAGCCCCCGCACCTTCTCATAAGTTGTTCGTGCCCTTGGGGAACGCTTGGAAAACTTCTCGGAGGGCCGGGAAACGTCCGAGCCTTCTGAGAAGGCCCCGGGCGTGCCATCTACTGAGGCCTGGGGTTCTCGTGCCCCTCACAACCCACAAAACCACCCCAACGCAACCCGAAGGCTCAAATGTACCGTCGACTTCCAGTGGGGGGGGGGTCGGGGATCATCGAAAAAACACGCGTGGAACCCTTACCCCCCCCAACCCGAAATTCGGGTCTTCGGGTTGGGTTGGGGTGGTCTGGTAGGTAGTGTCAGCCCCTCCCCGCGGCCGGCGAGGTTCCCCTCCCTGCGGCCGGGCGGAGGGGCTCGTCGGGGCACGCGCGGCACGGGGCACGCTCCACGCGTGGCCTGCCAGAGCCACGCCCAGTACACGCGCGGCCTGCGGACGCAGCCATTGGGAGTTCCACCGCAGGCCACAGTGGCTGCGCTCGCATGGCACCGCCGCGCGGGTTTCGGTGCACCTCTCGCACGTTTCGCGACCCCTTCAGCGAGGGCCCCATCTAGGGGGCCACATGCGAACCCTGCCCCTGCCCCCCACGATTTCTGAGGGGGAGGGTGGGGTTCGCTTCGCTCGGCACACGCGGCCTGCCTCCCTAAAACGTCCTGCGCTCGGTCGCCCCTCGTGCGCCCAGCTGCTCCTTCTGCGGGCGGCTCTGTGCCTGGTGGAGGTCGATGAAGTGGAGAGGAGCCATGCTGCCAGAGAATCTCCAGAGATGTTTCAAGCATGTTTTTAGATATGTAAAAACCTTGGTTGAGACATTTTGAGAACACGTTTTACACATTTTAAGCACATCTCTAGTTCAATTATCGGATTGTTAGAGTGTCCATTGTCAAGGCATCCGCAAACATGGCCTGACTCCCTAACATCCTGCTCTCGGTCGCCCCTCGTGCGCCCACCTGCTTCTTCCGCGGCTCTCTGCCTGGTGGAGGCCCTTTGGGGCGGAGCGGATTTCTATGACATTCTCTGGCCGCAGCAGGTGACGAGGCTGCAGCAGACGCTGGCTGCCCTGGCCAACTTCGACAAGAGGAGCCGAGAACTGAAGCCCAGTCGCGAGTCGTAAGGTGCACAAGCCGTGAGAGTCGTGAGTCGTGAAGCCCAGTCGTGAGTACTGAAGCCCAGTCGCGAGTCGTGAAACCCAGCCCCACCTCGACAGTGGTGACTGTGGTACACAAGGGGAAGACGTGGTGGGCGGCGGGCTGCCACCGACACGTGACAGCCCCACTCGAAGCAGGCCCGCCTTGACGAGGCAGTGCCTGGCACTGCCAGCTGCTTCGGGCAGTTCTGATGCCCGAGTCGGGATCCCGCAAAGGGCATGTTTGTGTGTGTGTGTGCCCCGGTGTGTGTGTGTGTGTGTGTGCCCCGATGTGTGTGTGTGTGTGTGTGTGCCCCGGTCAGCTCGCGCTGGACCTGCTGCCCCCCCCCCCGGGCGCGTGCCCGGCAGCCTTCTGGCTGCCTGCCCCCCAGCTGCTGCCCCGCTGCCGCTGCTGGCGTCCGGCCCCCGGCGCCCGCCCCGCCGTCGCCTGGCCCCGCTCTGAGCGGGCTCGGCTTCCGTCTCCCTCCCGCCCTCGCCGGGCTCCTCTCTTCCTCCCCCGTGCACCGCGGCTTCGTTCGCGTTCTGTGTGCCCCACTAGTGCTACATCGCCAGCGCAGTCACTCTGCCTAGCCGCCGACGCACAAAGTGTATGTGTGTGTGTGTGTATACATATAACGGCGCACCGGGTCCGGGGGCCCGGGGCCGGGACCCCGACCACAAATGTGGGCCCCGGGGGGCCCGGAGGCTCGTCGGACCGCCGGACGCTGTCCAAGATCGTTCGCAGGCGGCTTCGGAACGCGCTCCGATGGCTCCAGATGCCTTCCAAGACGCCTGTCATGACACCAAGAAGGTCCCAGAAGCCTCCAAGACGCTCCGAGAGGCAGCCCAAGAGAGGCCCAAGAAGCAAACATCGTGCCATTCCTATGGGAAAACGTATATTTTTCGCATGTTCGCCTCTTGGGCTTTCACCGCGTCCAAGACGGCCCAAGAGGCGCCCAAGACGGTCTACGAGGCCTCCGGGAGCGCTCCAAGGCTGCGCACGAGTGGCCCAGGACGGCCCCAAGACGGCCGAAGAGAGCCCCAAGACGAGTTCGAGAGGGGTCCCAGACGGAGAAAGCCAACCTCGAATTCCGAGCTTCCGGCCCAAGAGGCTCCAGGAGGCGCCAAAATGCCGCCAAGAGGCGCCAAAAGGCTCCCAAAAGCACCCCAAGACGTTCCGAGAGGCACCCCAAGAGAGGTCCAAGAAACAAAAATCGTGCCATTCCTATGGGAAAACGTATATTTTCGCATGTTCGCATCTTGGGCTTTCACCGCGTCCAAGACGGCCCAAGAGGCCTCCAAGACCGCCCCAAGACGGCCCAAGAAGCTTCCAAGAGGGCCCCAGGACAGCCCAAGAGGGCCCCAAGACGGCCCAAGAGGCGCCCAAGATGGCCCAAGAGGGCCCCAAGACGGGCCCAAGAGGGGGCCCAGAGGGGGACCACGAACCGCAAGCTCGAGCCTTCCGCCCCAAGAGGCCGCCAGGAGGCCCCAAGGAGGCCCCTCAAGAGGCCCCAGGAGACCCCCAAGAGGCCCAAAGGAGGCCCCGAGAAGCCCCAAATCGGCCCCCAAAATGCTTCGAACCTGCTTCCAGGAGGCCCCCGACAGGTTCAGAGGCTCCCGAGAAGCTACGTCAAACTCCCAGCGAGCGGCCGGACGAGGCCCCCCACAAAATCACAAGAGGGTTCCAGTATTTGTATCCTTGACTCAAGCTCGCCTCCTGGCTAGAACCTAAGCGCGCGAAGCGCGCGCGTGGTTCTAGTGTGTGTGTGTGTGTGTGTGTGTGTGTGTGTGTGTGTGTGTGAGAGCTCGATCAGTTTTTGTGCCGAACTGCCCAGAACAGATGCCCCCAAGCCGCTGGCAGCTCCGATCGTTGCCGATCGGTGGGGCATGCGGGGGGCATCTGTTTGCGGAAATTCGTTGCGCCATCGAATCGAATTCCCCCCCCCGTCAGGGCCACCCCCCTTTTGGTGGCGCCCGATTGAGGCCCCGTTGCCAGCGTGTGCAGAAGAGGGAGGTGGTACGTTTTGGTGTCGCTCCAGATGCTGACCCCTGGACGTCATTAGAGGCCCCCCAGCGGCTTCTAGAGGCCCAGAAAGAACGAAACGCGCCCACGAACCTCCCCTTTCGATCCTCGTAGAAGGAGTACGGCAGGCCCGCGCGGCGTCGACGCGGCGGCAGCGCTTGTCCTTCTCCTCCTCCTCTTCCTCCTCCTCCTCCTCCTCCTCCTCTTCCTCCTCCTCCTCCTCCTCTTCGTCCTCTTCGTCCTCTTCGTCCTCCTCGTCCACCTCGTCCTCCTCGTCCTCCTCGTCCTCCTCCTGAACATCAGTCACTGCTTGCCGAGCCACTCCAGCTCAACCTGAAGGTCCCAGACCCCCGAATTTTCGGGTTTGGGGGTTACAGGTTCCCTCGCGTTTTCTTGATGTTCCGGAGCGTTCCCCCACTGGACATTGACAGGCCCAACGCCTACTTCTGATTGGGTTTGGGTGGCTTGGTGGGTAGTCAGAACAAGGCCAATCTTGAAACGATTTTTGCTTTCGGACAGTCAGGATCGCTCCAGATTGGACGATCCACGCGGTGTCAGGAACCAACGTCGGCGCCACGGCAGGCACCAGCCGTGACCCTTTCCTCCGACGCCGCGATTCTCCTTCACGGCGTGGACCCCGGATATCTTGTCCCCCCGCCCCCGTATCAATTATTGATTAATTTGATGTGCGGCCCCACGGCCCCACTTCTGTGAAAATGCGCTCAGTTTTTTGTTGGGGGGGCGGAGGGGCGGCCCCATTTTTTTTTTTTGAAAGGCACCCAGTTTTTTTTTTGGGGGGGGCGGGTGGGCGATCCCATTTCTGTGAAACGGCGGCCAGATGTCGAAGACGTACAGTGGAAATCCATGCCAAGAAACACCCTGCTTGCCTCCAGGATCCCCTGGTTTTCTTGGATTTCGACGGTTTTCCTATGGAAAACGTGACGCTCCCACACCGAAAATCAGCGGACGTCCTGGCGTCTCATGGTTGGGTTTCTTGAGGAAGGTTTCTTGTGGTCGAGCTCCTACTGTATAACAACTGGCCGCTACGCTTTTTGTGGTGACGCCCAGATCTGAGGCCATCCGGGTGCGCCCCCGCGCGATTCCGCCACCGTGCTTGGGTGAGCGCACGGGCAGGGAGCCTTGCGTTCGGAGGGGGGAGGGGGGCGCTCGTGGGGAGGTGCCACGGACGGCACTCGGCTACCATGGCTTTCTGTTTAGTTTTTGAAGGAAAAGCCAGATGCGCACGGACCTGATAATGGCCTTCACTATGCGAAACTAGCGAACAAGGTGAAGGGCACGACGCACACAAAGAGCTGCAAGCGCGGTGGCGGATCAGGTGCGGGAGAATGAGTATGTCTCGACTCCTTCCCTGGGGCCAGGGAATTCGTCTCGAGAATAGTTTTGACGTTTTTTAAAGACGTTGGAGGTCTGGGAGTGTGGGGATGAGTTGGCCAGCGGTCCCACCGGGCCCCGAGGAGCCCCATCGTCCTCACGGTGGTCAGTCCGGGCGAGGTCGAGGCGACCCTGAGCATGCTCACCAGCCTCCAGGCGCGGGCGACAAGAAGCGATCTTTGCGGAGGAGGATGAGGAGGAGGAGGAGGAGGAGGAGGAGGAGGAGGAGGAG